GATATTTAAATCAGAGGAAGAGCAGGAGAGAAGGGCTTGAGCCGGTCACCCAGACAGGTACACCCCCCTGCACACAGCCGCTACCTCAGGCGCAAGCACTTCAGCTGTAAACCTCCGACAAAGCAGATGCAGAGAGCAGGATTGCAGTGGGTTTACGTAATATGTCAAAACTTTGTTTTGTGCTCCCATCAAATATTACTTTTTTTGGCTTCATCTTTTTCCTTGTGAATCCTTAGTACATATTACATGAACAGACTGCAGAGCATTATCCAGAAGAGCTTAATTAACCTCAGCTAGGGAAAGAGTAGAAGCTGTAGGGTAAAAAAAGATCATATTTAGACAAATATGTGCAAATGACCTAGATGCATCGATTTCCTTAAGAGCCATGCAATGCAACGTGGATGCTGTCTGCAGAGACCGCAGGTTTGTGTCACTGCCTCTCGTGTTGGCTGTCCCGGTCTGCGCCTTGGGGCTTCTCCCATACCGCCCCTGAAGTCCATACTAATCCTACCTGCTCTCATCCTGTTTTCTCCTCCATCTGTCGCCTTTCTCTTAGACATCATCAAAATGCAGAGCTGGGAAGGACCCCAGGAGATTAGCTGTTCCCTTCACGGGATTAAGTATACTCAGATCATCTCTGATGGATGTTTGTCTAACCTTATTTTTGAAAATCTCCAAGGAATGCTGTCCCAAGACTTCCCTATTTTGTCTGTTCTAGTGTTTAACTACTCTTACAGCTAGAAAGATTTTTTTTCCCAAGTATCTAATCCTGTTCTCCCTTGTGGTAAATTAAGCCAAGCCACAATCAAAATGGAGAATAATTCATCACCAGCCTTCTTAGAAGAGAAGTAGCTTTCACATATTGGAATACCAATAGCACATTCCTTTTTATTTATGTCCTTTCTGGATTAAACAACTCCATTTCTTTGGCCCTTCCCCATGGATCAGGTTTTGAGAGTCTTTTTTTGTATTTTTATATTTTCTTGCTCTTATCTGATTTAACTACAAAAAATAATTTTGTATGACATTCAAAAGTGGACAGTGTAAACCAGCTAGTCATGGTCCTGGCTTAACTATAGACAGGAAAATATATACTATACTAATATAGCCAGCATGTAAAAGAAGGTAAATTCTATAGCTTAATAATTTCTTCCTAATTCTCTCGTATGTTATCCTTGGGATAATCAGGAGTAATAGCAGCAGCCTGTCCCAGCTGCCGTTTGTGCTCTCCCCAAAGCCTGAGCTCCTTTCGACACTGTGGCTACTTACACAGCTGATAAATCTCCATTTTGTCTATACCTATTTGCTTTGTCCTTCCGACACGTAGCACTTACACCAGTCTGTTTAAACAATCCATTTTCATCCTCAGCCACACATCTGCTTTCCTCTATCTTGCGTGTGTGCTTGTTTGATTCAGCTTACGTGCTTGAAGAAAGGCAAGATAGTCCCGCGCTTGACAAGAGTGGTGTACAGAACAACGAGGTTCATTTCTCAACACCGCTACAGGCTCTCTGTCTGCATCTGGCAGAGATCACACAAAGCAGCATTGCTTTCATTGCCTGCATGTTCTCTGAATTTTTATTCTCTTGTCCACATGCATAAAAAGCTCCTTAAAACAGGGGTTTGGCCTTGTTTGCTGTACATGTCTCATACAGCCCAGCTGAATTCCTAAATTTTATTGAAATGAATTACAGTGTAAGCCAAGTGCATTTTCCTATGGTTCACTAAGGAGTTAATGTATGTTATTCTTTAAGAGATGTAGGAACATACATGATAAAATATTCACGGATCAAATAATTACTATGTTTCCCATAGTATGGGTGTTAAAATTTAGTCAGTTAGGAAATAATATCCATTTATTGAGTCTTGGCAAGAAGACGGGAAGAAAGGAGAAGTGGTAGTAGGAAATGCCTAACCTATTAAAGATGACATTATCCAGTTACAGTTATTAATCTGCTATGTGGACTAAACTTTCCTGAAACCAGGTGTGTATAAAGTGTCTTCCGTGTGCAGCCACATGCTATTCACTGAGATGTTTACGTGCTCAGCCACTCTGTGAAAAAGAAAGGGTCTCTTAAAAACTTGGGATATTGGTGCTGGAGTTTATAGTCAAGGAGTGGGGAATGGTCCTCCTTTTGTGGAAGTACAAAGGAAACGCACTGTTGGCACAGGGCAGTGACCTGCACTTGGGTAACGTCAGGAATGGACTTGCTCTGAGCTCTTTACCTTTTCTGTACGTCTTTGAATGGTTTCATCTTCCTCCACATCAGCACCTTTCTCTCCTCTGCGCCTCCCTCGACTCCAGGGGCTGTTTCTCCACCAGAAAGTTCCTGCCGAGCTGGGGGCTGAGAGCTCTGGGGAGAGCGATGGGAGAAGAGAAGACTCGTTTCTTCTAGATTCGTTATTGAAGATTTTTCTCAAAATGAAAGCAAAAGTGGCAGGCAGGAGCTTTGTGCTTACTGTCTTTCCCTCAGTCGCCCATGTGCTTGCTCAATGCTCAAGGACAAAAACGCGGCGTTTCTTCTTCGTGTGTTTTCTGCAAACAGCCTCGATAGCTGAGCTTGTTCTTTCCCACTGTTGCATTCTCACCAACAATAATATTCTGTGGGGCCATTTTATTTCCAAAAGCACTGGTATGATTCCATTATCTCCTCACTGCTCCTTCAATAACTCCTAGGCAACACGGTTATCTTCACATCCGATACTTAGCAACACCTGCAAAACACAGGACCCTCTACAACGCACTGCAGAAACCTTGCGGGAGGCAGCGCTTGTCCCTGCTGCAGCCTTGGAGGGGAAGTGCATGGAGCAGTTCCATCAGACACGTCCAAACCTGATGTATCGTCCTCTGGAAGTATAATGACAACACAAAGCTGTTAAAACATTCAATTAGCATTAGCTATTAAAAATAGCTTGTAATGTTTTTAGTATATGTAAGAAAAAAGCTAATGCACGGAGCATTGTATTTTCAGAGCCAGGTGAGAAGGAGGATTGTGATTATTTATTCTTGTAACACCTTTTATGAACAAATCTCTACATAATCATAAATATTGCATAGAAAAGTATGTTTGATCCCACTTCACCCATCTCGCTTGCAAGGACAGTCTGTTCAGTGCTGTGTTTTGGTAGTTTTCAGCAGCAGTGAGTCGGTTCTCTCTGGGAAGAAGAATAGTTGCTGGTACAGCTAATTGAAGGAGCGCATCTTTTTTCCTGTGAGATTTGTTATCAAGTTTTTTTGAGAATGTGGTGAAGATAAATGCTGTTTCTAAGAACTGGTCCAAGACTCACATTTAAACACAGTGCACAGTATTGATTTAATTGAACAAGTTTAGCGTGATGCTCACAGCCTTTTCTCAGCACTGCACTGGGCACAGAGGGAGAGGAAAGAAGCAATTTTCCGAGTTAGGAAAAAACAGAAAAGATTTTCTATTGCATATTCAGCCTGAAATATCTTTTTCTTATGTTTTGGACAGCATCACTACTCAAAGCCTACATACCAGAGGAAGATATTTGTACAATGCATTAGTTAGTGGATTTTTTTTCTCCCTTAGAGTATTCTAGAGGAAGGATCCAGGTTTTAAAGACTACGAGCTTCTGGACAGTGCCCTATCTCATGATCGTTAATACTGTCTGGCATAGCCATGAGCCAGTTTGCTAAAAAATTATGATGTACAATTTATTTTCAAAGATTAATGATTTGTTTAAAATAATACCTACTGCTTATCTTTAAAAAACCCTCGCTACTAAATCTTATTTGAGTAAATAAATGCTGTACATTGATTTTATTTTTCCTCTTAAATGAATCATTTGATACAGCATTTATCTTTAGGGCACTCTCAAAAATCAAAAAGTATTTAAGTTAATGTAATACATCTAAATATTGGGTTTTGAGAGTGGATAGAGGAAGGAAATCTTGATTGTGTGTTGCTGCTAAATTTGGCTTTTTAAATATGTATGCCTTGTAACTTGGATCACCTTATGTGGTCATGAGTATATAATTAACATTCTATTTTCTGGTGATCACTTTTTGTTATCTGTTCCTATAAAGACATAGAGATGTGAGGCCAATGCTCCTCTTACGCCAGTATAAATCAGGAATAGTTCTAGTAAAGGCAGTACAAAATTTGATGGGCAAAGCCAAGATAGGTATGAAGAGGATAAGGAGGAAAACAGGACATCATCTATTTTTTACTACAGTTTATCAGCATCCACAGTTTCACATCTATGGTTGAATAATAATGAAGACTATTTTACTTCTCCCTTCCCAGTGTGGAGAAATGAGCTGTTGCTGAAAAAGGAATAATCAACTTAGAAAGAAGATGGGGATGAACAGGTTTGGTTGTAAAGGCTGTAAACATCAAGGAGAGAAAAAGAAGAAATTTAAGCTGGATCAAGAGGTTAAAACCAGGGCATAATGGGACAGAGATAGGCTTTGAACTTAGAATTAGGGTGATTTTCTTGCCAATGAGTTGTGTATGAATGGGAAGTGGATGTCAGAGAGCCATCTCCCCTGACTCTGAGATTGTGTTTGGAAAAGAGAGATCTGCATTACCCAGGCTGCACTGCCAAACATGCCTGAGCTGATTTCTCAAGATTTATGCTTCTACACAGCCTCATTTGCAGCACAGGAATCCCAGCCAGCCAGCGGCCCATATTTTCTGGTTTCTCGTCCTATGGAATAGAACTTCCCATCATAGAAAATGATGGAAGAGTGTTACCTACTCAAAGGCATTTCTTCACGCCTACAAGCAAAATTTTGCAGCGTGAGGATTTGTATGTTGTTCTTTTATGCCTATGATCTGCCCTATTTGTTTAGCAGCATCAAATGTATTCACAGCAGATGAGGCTTGAAGAATCTGACCAGGTTTCACCATTACTTCTTTCTTTTCTTCAGCCCTCCCATGAATTTCCTGC